GAGCTGGGTGGTGGATTACTGTTATCGGCGCTTGCAGGGAGCTTTCCCTGCAGGGACGGGGACAGGCTGCCAGCAGGGATGGGCTGCAGCGTGGGGGGTCCCAGGGAAGGGACATTGGGGATGTGCTCAGTGGGCCCCTCGGGCAGCTTCGCATCATCCTGTTGCATCCCGGTCCCGGCCAGAGCAGAGGGAGAGCCCAGCACCTACCTCCAGGCGCTTGACTTGCGTCCGCTCGAACTCCAGCCTGGTCTCCAGCTCTCGGATCTTGGCCTCTTGCCGGCTCACCAGCGACTTGTCCACCATGGATTGCTCCAGGAACTCCAGCTGGCTCTGCAGGCCTTGCAGCTGGGGGCGGCGGGGGGCACAGCCTCAGCCTCGACCTCAACCTCCCTGGCCCCCCACTGTGCTGCTCTGGAGCAGAGCCTCTGGCCACGCTGCTCCCATCCCAATGGAGAGCTCCCCATGGGACTGCTCTGCACCCGAAAGGGTGCAGGGTTCCCCTCCCCACATAGTGTGGACACCAGGTCTCTGGGTGCCCCCCTGTCCCCCCAGCTTCACTCGGGGCGCATTGCCCGTGCCCGATGTCGGTGCTCCCCACCTTCTCCTGCAGCTCCTGCTTCTCCTTGCTGACCTCCTCCAGCTGCGCCTGGAGGTCGTTCATCTGCGCCAGGTCCCGGGACGCCTGCGGGACACACCGGGGCCATCAGCAGGGACTGGCTCTGAGAGGGACTTTACGGGGGGGGCGGGGGTGCTGTTGCCCCCTCACCTGGGCCACAGCCGCTTTGTGCTTCTTCATCAGCTCATTCATGTCCTCCTGGTCCTCCTCCAGCCGACTCTGCACCTCGTTCTTCTCCCGCTGCAGCCGGCTCAGCTGCTCCTCCAGCTGGGGAGAGCCGCCTGCGTCTCCCGCTGCACCCCAGGAGTGGGGCACCCACCCCCCAAAACCACCCCAAATGGCGCGGGGTCACCCTGCTGGCACACGCCACGCTGGCGGGGGCCTTCACCTGGGTGCAGGTGGGGCATGGCCCCATCGTGGTGCCTTGCACCCCGAAAACACTTACCGCTGCCTTCGCCTTGGCGAGGTCGTCGATCTGCAGGTGGAGGTCTTCAATCTCCACCTCCATCGACTTGCGGGCCTTGACGGCGGCCGCGCAGGTGAACTCTGACTCCTCCAGCTATGGGGACACAGCTCAGCACCCGGCAGGGGGATGTGAACACCCCGTGTCCCTCAAGGGCTGCGGTTTTAGGGGGTTCCGGAGGCACACCTGGTTCTTGAGCTGGGCGATCTCCCTCTTGCTGGGCGCGTTGTTCTTCAGGTGGTCCAGCATGATCTGCGCATCAGCCAGCAGCGCTTTCGTCCTCTTCAGGTCCCGGCGCAGGCGCTTCTCCGTCTCAAAGTCCCGCTGGTTGGCCTGTGGCAGGGGGGACCGTGTCAGGGCACTGTGCTGGTGGGGCACCCACCCTGCCATGGCCACCTCAGGGTCCCCGAAGTGAGGCATGTGCCCAACTGCCCCCCACCCTACCTGCTCGCTGACAGCGGACAACTTGCTCTCCAGCTCCCGTTTCTCTCTCAGCACCTTCTGCTTGTCCTCGTACTCCTCCTCCAGCTGCACCTCCATCTGCTTCAGCTGGTGGACAGCCCGGGCAGCCAGTCAGGGCATAGGAAGGGGCTGGGACCCCCCCCTCTTGCATGTCCCCACATACTGGGGACGCTGGGTGACCCCACCAGCCAGGTGTTTGCACAGCCAGAGGCGTAAAGCCCGGTGTACGCTGGCCAGGGC